AAAGAGAGAATAGAAAACGAAAAAAAGAAAAGAGAGCGAAAGAGAGAATAAAGAACGAAAAAAAGAAAAGAGAGAATAATGATAATAATGATAGTAATGATAATAATAATAATAATAAAAACAACAACAATAATGATAATAATAATGATAATAATTATGTTAAAACAACGACAATGATGACAATAATGATAGTAGTAATGATAATGAAAATGATGATAATGATGAAAATAATAACAATGATATTAAAGATGATAATGATAAAAATCCCAGTAATAGTAATGATAATAAAAATGATAACGATGATGATAATGCAAATAATGATAATGATACTGATGATGATGATGATAATGATAATAATAATAATAATAATAATAATAATAATAATAATAATAATAATAGGAATAATAATATCAAGAAATTAAAATGTTAATAGTAATGAGAATGACAATAATAATGATAATAATAATGATAATTATTATTATAATAATGATAGTAGTAATAATAATAATAGTAATAATGATAACAATGGTAATTATGATAGTAATAATTATTATTATAATAATGATAATGATGGTATTAATAATATTGACAATAAGGAAGATAATAATAATGATAATGAAAAGAATAATAACGATTATGACAATGATAACAATGACAATAACAATAATCATGATAATGATGATAATGATAGAGATAATGAATAATATAATAATGATAATAATAATAATAATAATGATAATAATAATAATAATAATAATAATAATAATAATAATAATAATAATATAAAAAAATAATAATATTGATAATAATAATAAAGATAATAATGATAATTATTATTATTATTACAATTATCTTTATCATTATTATCATTACTATTATCATTCTCATTCTCATTATTCCCATCATTATTATTAATATCATTACCATATTTATTATCGTTATCATTATTATTATTATCATTATTATTATTATTATTATTATTATTATTATTATTATTATTATTATTGTTATTATTATTATTATTATTATCATTATTATTATTATTGTTATTAATAATATTATCCTTAATTATAATAATGATAATAATAATAATGATAATAATAATAATAATAATAATAATAATAATAATAATAACAATAATAATAATAATAATGATAATAGCAATAATAATAATAATAAGAAAAATAATAATGATACTGATGATAATAAGAATTATGACAATAATAGCAGTAATAGCAATAACAATGATAAGAATAATGGTGACAGAAATAATGAACAAGAATTAGAATACAAATAAGAATAAATATAAGAATAACTGATGGGAATAATAATAATAATAATAATAAAAATGGCAACAAGATTAAGAATAAGAATAATAGGCAGACAAGAAATAGAAGAAGAAGAAGAAGAGGGAAACGAAGAAGAAAACGAAGAAAAGAGGAAAAGGAAGGAGAAGAAGAAGAAGAAGAAGACGGAGAGGATGTAAATTTGGAAGAAGAAGAAGAAGAAGAAGAAGAAGAAGAAAAAGAAGAAGATGTAGAGGATGTAAATTTGGAAGAAGAAGAAGAAGAAGATAAGGACAACGACGACGATAAATAATAATGATAATAATAATAATAATAATGATAATAATTAACATTAACATTAACACACTTAATATATATAATAATAATAAGGCGAAAAAGAGAACAAGAAAACGGAGATGAAGAAGAAGAAAATGAAAAAGAAGCAAAACCAAAACCGAGTCTTCCCTTCTCTCAATGAACGATAATTTGACGGAACGGAAATGCCTCTCGCTCTCTCTCTCTCTCTCTCGCTCTCTCTCTTTCTCTCTCTCTCTCGCTCTCTCTCACTCTGTCTCGCTCTCTCTCTCTCTCTCGCTCTCTCTCACTCTGTCTCGCTCTCACTCACTCACTCACTCACACTCTCTCTCTCTGTCTCTGTCTCTCTCTCTCTCTCTCAGGACTCGTCGGAGGCGCGTCGGAAACCCTACGGCAGTGAGGAAGGCGATTGATATTAGCGGTGAGTGCCGATCCCAAGCCCGGATGAAGAAAGAGGGTTGGCGTCAGGAAGGGCATCCGGCCATAAAAAAATATCTGCCAGAACCTGATCATAGCGACCTCTACTTATTCTCTTCTCTAAGTCCGTGACAACAGAAGAAATCTCTCAGCCTGCGCTTGCATCTCTGCAGCCGACTCTTCAATTGACTGCGGATCAAGCACTTCCTGACGTAACTCAGGCTGGGGCGCTTGTCGTGGTTTGGGCTGAAGAGAAGAGTCATGAGTTTAGCGATGTCACTGGGAACGCCTTCCTTATAGAAGAGTCTGAAGAAGATCGTCGCCAGGCCGGGCATGTCACACTTCTGAACCATGGGGCAGCCTTCGAAGAAGCATTCGCAATTCTAGGGCAAGTTGTTAACGAGGTACTCCACGGGTTGGCATTGGCCCACGAAGCACGCGCAGCTGAAGTCGATGATATAGACTTCCTCGAGCTTCCCGTC